GCATCGCTAATAGAACAGTCACTATTTTAAAAGAGCTCTTTGTTCGATAAAGGGGTTTGCCATCTTCCATCTTCAAAGTGAGCGAGAACTCCCTGGCTTTTGTCAAGAACTTCCTGGTGCTTGTCCAATTCCTAGAACCAAGGGGGGCTTTGAACCCTTTGGCTCTGGGATTGCGACTGTTCAAGATGTCAAACAGCTTCTATTTCCTCTGTACCTATGCTTTTCAAAATTAAATTGCAGCATCGCTTTAAACCTATAAATCTGAGATGTGACAATCAGGGTGCTTCTGAGGTAAGTACGAGGTAGGTATAAACAGTTTTATCCAAGTTCTTGCATATTGTTGAATTTGAGGAGGGTCATAATTAGCAAGTTTCCTGAGGTTTCCCAACAAAGGGATCAATAAAGTTCTATTCTATTCTAATTATTTAATCATTCCTGATGCAAAGAAATGAAAAAAAGAAAAGAGAAAGATAAAGAGTTAATCCTGGTGGCATTCACATTTTAACAACCACCCTCGTTTCGGGGTTACGTGAATTAATTCTGAAGTAGCCTCACAATCTTTGAACTCTGCAGAGTCCACGTCCTGCAGGGTGTGGAGCGCCACTGCCACAGAGTTACTCAAAGTCTGAGCAGCCAAGGAGACCTGGATTGAGTTTATAAGGAGAAATGAAGAGCACATTACCGCTACAAGATACAAACATCATCAAAAAGTATAAAAACACAATAACGCCCTAGAACCCATTTCTATTGCGGTCCTCTATACATAAATCATCATGCAAACATACCTTCATCCTCTGATTAGCAAAGTTCACATGTGTATCTGTGACTCTGTTGGCAGCATGTAGTCCACTTTTCTTTTGAACATTGTATATATTATATACTTCCAATCAATACTGCCAGTTATGCTTCTAACGGGGCTGTACGCCTGCACAATCAGATTGTTTCTCACTGCACACGTCAAATGTAAAGCACCATATTTTGCACAATTATGTGAATACAATCAAAATGTATAAAAAGCAGAACAGACACAACCAGAGCAAATAGGCAATAATGAGCACGTACCTGCAACATATTGCATGTCAGCTTCAGCATGTGGTAAGCATCCATCATGACAAAAGCTCGTCAGATGCAGACTTTAAAAGTTCATATAAAGCAAAAAACAGATTTTAAAAACTTCCTTGGCATCTCCATCGTATTCGTGCTAATCTAGTACAACTACGTGAATATAATAATAGTAGTATAATATAGAAGGAAAAACAAAGAAAATAGCTAAAACTATAGAAAGTAGGTTGGAGCTGCTGCAACTGGCTGCCATTCTCACGGCACGATAGTGTATTTTATTCGTATTTTTGTCATTTGAATTGTCGCCAAGTTAATAACGTTTGTAAGAAACTAAACTGTTTGTAAATCCGTCAAGATTCCAGCAAGATAAGAGTATTTACATTTGTGCAGATCACTCACCTTCCTTCACGTACCACAGGTTCTGCCAGAGAGCTTCAAAATGGCCGCCGGGGATCCCGTTCGAAACGCCGCCTTAAGACATGTAGCCTTAATTATATATATCTATGGTTGAAACAGTTTATGGAGGGGGTGTGAGGAGTCCCTGACAATGTTCAGGGTCCTGAACAAAACAATCGTCAGTTTTTCACATCAGCTAAATTTGCTCATCAGACCAATACGGATACATGGGAAAAAACACGAATATCAGCCGATACCGATGCTGCTAATCACCATATTTGAGCACAAAATCCAGCTGGACCTGGGATACTGAAGGAGAGGCGGCGTTCAGCTCAATGTGCATCCCAGCGTCTCCGTCTGATGTGTAGTGTTTTTTTATTTGCTGTCGACAGACTCTGGTCTCCTCGGTTT